TTACAGTAACTTGATGTTCTGTGATGATCTTCTATAATGTTTATTATTGCAGTCAGGAGCACTTATCATGAAGTGAAAACATTATTCTATGAACAGTTGTGTGTGTTGGAGCCGCTCTCAGGAGAGCCCCAGCACATGAATCTTAACAGCGGTCTGAAGATTCATTGGGAAGTGCCGTGCCGTCCAAGCCCCCAGGGTACACAGAAAAGAAGTCAGCAGACATGTCGCTAAGATGTGGAATATATATAATGCATGAGGCAAGAGATCCCAATGGAAGTTCGATTAATAAGAAACCTGAATAGAAGGAGGGAGGTGAGTATGGGGAATAAGAAAAATCCATCAGCAGCAGTATAGCAGGTCGGAAGCAGATGGGAAAATGTAGATTTGGAAGCATTAATATTCTTCTAACGTTCTGTTGTTCAAAGTTGTTTAAAGAAGACTGACATGTGTCACCAAGACAAATTTTCTCTTCAATGATAACCAAAGAGGCATTGTTGTTTAGTTTTACATGTTTAAAGCATCGTCTTATCGGCATCTGCTTTACATTTTGTTGTCAAGCATTTACAGTATCAGGAAGTGTGAGAGCCATGTAGCTATAACAGCTCCACAGCCAGACAGAGAGGACGTCCCCAGAGAGAAGCTACACTGGATGTGCTTACCCAGTGTGAGAGTCCAGATCTAAAGGGAGATGCCTGGTGCTGAATCCCATGATCAGAGGGGGAATGGCAAAGGAAAGCGCTGTGATCAAGTCTTACTGTTTGGGGGGGGGGCTGCAGACTACAAGCCGCTCTCTGTGATAGAGTCAAAGAATTGAGTCAAATTCTGTCTTTTCTGATTGACAACTTGTTGAACTCTTGCACTGTTAACACAGTTTAACGTGTGGTCATCAGCAGTACATTATTATATTGACAAATACAGGACAGGGATAGCAACACAATAAGGGATACAATATTTACTAAAGCACAAGAAAACAACAAAGTTCTCCTCCTGTAGTCACAGGGTTGGGGGTTCAATCCTTGCTCCTGGTAACTGCATTGTTGAAGTGAATGTGCAGGCCAAGTGCTGTATAAATCTGTATGTGTGGGTGAGGTTTGCAGGATACATGCACCAAATAAATACATTACATTTATAATTTACTTTATAGCTGCAATCAATATTTTTATATTAACAATAGACTCAATGACTAAGTTTGATGTGAAAGTGGTTGCCCATAGTAATAAACCCAGAGAATTATAACCAAACTCTGCAGCTCCCCTCAGCTCTTTACTGTTTTGGTTTAGTCTCACTGCTCGCATCAACCTTGTTTCAAGCAGCAGCAGGCATGTTGTTATCATGGAGTTTGTGGAGAACAAAACAGGAGAGTGAATGTTGGACTTAGATTCATCCAGATGCCAGTAACACATCTATACATAAGGGCTCTGTTTCTGCTGGAAGTGTGAATTAGCAATTGCGTTCTGACACATTCACCATGACAACTTTATATGGTGATAATATGTCAGTGTCAAGTAAAACACCTTTGGGCAGGTTTATGCTTCTGAAAAAGTTCAGTGGTGTTACAGTTACAGTTAAGTAAAAATTATATCCTAAGTGGAAAATGTCATTATGTGAGTTAGGAACTCAAACACTAATTGTAGAATTTCAAGGTAAATGTAAAGTGGACACTTTTTCACAACTCTAGCCCTGTGGCCTTCCTCTCCACTTGTACACTACTGGAAAATATATATTAAGTAGTCTATGACCTCTTTAGGACCTGAGGGAAATGCAGCAACATTGTCAGAACTTGTTTCCTCCTACACATGTCTCTATTATTGTCTGCTTTCTCTGAGGTGCAGAGGCCTGTAATTGACAAAATTTCAAAATAGACACAAGTAAACTCGCAAACAGATGCTCCAATTGAACAGCTACGTCTAATGAAGAGGGCATTTCTTCAAGAAAGACAAGCAGTAGCTGTAACTGTTGGTATGAATTGTTTTTTTTTACAGTGAAAAGATGTAAAATCCTTCCGAATGACCAGATTTATTGTTGTAATGTAATAAATTAACCAAGGCCCCTTGGCCTCATTGAAACTATTACAGAATTTACTTAAAAACTATCAAGGGCAGCTCAATAATAGTCTGTATATTTCACTTTTGTTTTTCAATTTCATGCCCAAGCAGTCAACCCATGTTGCAGGGTATATTGCACCATTCAGTCTGTGTAAGATTTATAGGAGCAATATAACCGATAACTCCTACTTAATGTCGCCAGTCCTCTGTCTCCACAGTCAGTGTTGTTCAGCTCACTTTCATATCCCGCTTTTATGTCTCTCTGCTGTATGAGGTGGAGACACTCTGAAGACCCGAGAAAGAGAAAGAGAAAGCTTTTAGCAAAATAGTAGTTAAATAGTTGTCTATTTCAATGTATATACTACATTCTTATATTATACTGTATAATTTGTTGTTCTGACTGTGAAGCTTGATTATCCTTAGTCATTAATCTAACTCTTTACAACAGTCACAAGTGGGTTATCTGCTGCACAATCTGTATTATTATTAAAGATAACAATTCTGAATGAATGAAATTTGGGGACAGGCCATAAATTAATTTAAAAAGATACATGGATTTATCAAATCGAAACTCTTGACAGCACTGTAAGGTATGTGACTACACTGATTCTAGTATAATGTTCTTTTATTTCTGACTTCTAAGTTTGTCTTCAGTCAGACACGATGTAGTTTTAGTGATATGTTTTTATTTGCAACATTGTTTCTCAGAAACCAGGGTAGTCTTCATGACTCTCTTATATGTGATTAAGAAAACAAATACAGTGCTTTGCCAGATTTTAAGCGGGTGTAGAAAAATGCTGTAAAGTAAGAATGCTTTTAAAAATAGACATGTTAATAATGTATCAATTAACAAAATGCACTGAAGAAAAACCTAAATTAAATCAATATTTGGTGAGAGCACCCTTTGGACTGATTACAGGACCGTAGAAGCAGTGGTTGGCCAAAGAAACTTACTGCAGCAGATGAAAGACACATCATGCTAACTTCCCTTTGCAATTGGAAGATGTCCAGCGGAGCCAACAGCTTAAAGCTGGCAGAAAACAGTGGGACTCCGATACGGCCATCTACTGTCCGGAGAAATCTGTTCAGTAGTGGCCTTCATGGAAGACTTGCCGCCAAAAAATACATACCTCCAACATGGAAACAAGGCCACGTAACTCAACTATGCACCAAAACACGGAAACTGAGATCCTGAAAAATGGCAGCAGGTTCTCTGGACTGGAGTCAAATTTTATAATATCTGGCTGCTGAAGCCAGTTTGTTCACTGAAGGGCTGGAGAGTTGTACAAGAATAAGCATGGTGGTTCCTTGCAAGTTTGGAGCTGCATTTCCTGAAATATTGGGGGTGTGGTCAGAATTAATGGTCTCCTCACTGCTGAGAAGTACAGGCAGATACTTATCCATCATGCAGTACCATCAGGTAGGTATCCGATTGGCCCAAAATTTATTCTGCAGCATGACAACGATCCCAAACATACAGCAAAAGTCATTGTGAACTATCTTCAGCATAAAGAAGAACAAGGAGTCCTGGAAGTGATGGTGTGGCGCCCACAGAGCCCTGATCTCAACATCATGGAGTCTGTCTGGGATTACATGAAGAGAGAGAAGCAACTGACGCTGCCTAGTGTACCTAGGTCACACCACACATTGATTTTATTTTCTTCTGTTCACTCACTTTGGATTTTGTTAATTGATAAATATAATCTATTAACGTGTTTATTTTTGGAAATACTACTTTGCAGCATGTTTCTACCCCTGCCCAAAACATTTGCACAGTACTGTATTTGGTATGGTGTGTCGGAATAATTAGAAACTCAACACCTGCATACGAAGCACCCACCTTACGAGACAAAGGAACGGCTGTTCTTCCAGAAAAAAGAAAACTTGACAGCGAAACAGTTAGGTGCTGTTTTCCCCAGCGGAGCCAGAGTGTGTTTTTTGACTCTTGTAGTTGGTTTGATAGCAAACCGAGTTCAAAAATGTAAAAGAAGGTTTGTGACAATGATTTATTGTAGTTCTATAAGTTTGAGTGTAATAATGAATATTTCCCAGCTAATGTTGAAATGATGCAAGGGTCCCTGGGGCACATTAATTTTCAATTTTGGGTCCCAAGATGAAAAAGTTTAAGCTGGTGTAGAAAAAATTAACACCCAAATTACTATCAAAACTCCTAGAAATTGCTTGCTTTCTATATATATTTTTTTGACACTTTATGTAAATTGCTATGTTCATCCAACTCTTTATGACAAAACAGCAGTGAAAGGAAGAATTTTAATTTCACCTGTATTGCGATGGAATTTAAAACTATTGCAAACGTTGTGTTGCTAGGCCACCAGACCTCATTCTTCCTCTGACAGTTTTTTTAATCGTCTTTGTCTCCTCAGAATTTCCATAGGAATGGCATCACACAAAGCTTTACAGCTCCATCTGCGCAATATGAGAAAAGCATTTCATTTGTACTGAAAAGAAATGTAACTGGTATTGGTAAAACAACCTATTTTCATTGGGACAGTTTTATTTTCAGCCAGAAAGTAGAAAGCTAGTAAGTTAGAATTCAGCTCTGTTCGCAGCCTGTGTAAGGATCTATATATTCCTGCTTCCGACTGTAATTCCAGCTCTCTCTTCTTCATGTCCGTGGCCATGATTGCTTTGTTACATTTCATATTGCAGCGGTGTGATTGTGTCATGAGGTCCGGAGAATACAGCGCTGGTTCTGTAAAAAAGATGTGTACTCTGTGTATACTATGAAATATCTGGGAACCCATTACCTTCCCTTCTCGCTGACGATTACATGGATCAGATATTGAACAAAACACCACAGTATTATCCATGTAATGCATTTGCACCCCTCTTACTATACAACCTCTCTTCTTGTCTTCCTTTTATTTTCTCCAATAATTTCTCAATTTTTCTCTTCCTTTCCCTTTCTCACTACCTCTCTCTCTGTCTCCCCAGGGCCAGTATTGTCCAGAAGAAAATCATTTATTTCCAGGATGCAGGCTCTCTCACCATTCGACTGTGTGAGAAAGGTAACGACAGCTGCCCATCATCTCCTCCTCTCCTTCGTCGGCTGCTCATCTTTTCATTCTTGACCGCTCATCATGGTGCCATTATCCTCTGTTCTATCTGTCGTTGTCCCCCACCCCCTTTCGGAGCAGAACAGCTCCCAGCCTTTCATACTGTGTTTAAAAAAATATGATGCCCACAGAGGCAGTGGAGAAAGCTGTGAGGACAACGAATCACGGATCTCCTGGGAGTCTGTGTGGGATTTAAATATTCCTTTGTATTTCGCACACAGAGCGGCAGCACAGCTTTTGTGTTACCTGTAATTTCACCGCAGAGAAAAATGCCACACCAGATTTGGAAAGCTGTCTGCTCCCTAAATATACACTAAAGTCTTGTGAGACAGAGAGACCATGGGACTAAAAACCAGAGCCCACACAAATGGTTTTTTAAAACTTAATCTCAGTGGGAATTTTACTTTCATAAAATCTTCCTCTCCTCACCAGAATCTAATTTTCCAGGCTATTATGCAAGCCAATCAAGCCACACTGTTTTCAATTTGCTTACTCGTCCTGCTATAACTTAGATGTCAAGTGAGAATTTCTTTCGAATAATTTGGTTACTCATAAATATTCAAGTCCTCCACCTTGACCTATCTTTGCAAAACATTGGTTGAGGCCAATATTTTAATATTTATGAGTCTGCGTCAAGGGTAATGTGTCATTTAAATACCGGTTTATTCCAGTGATGTAATTTTGAGACATTCTCACTGGTTCCAAATTGTAGTCCATCATCTGATCATCTTTGGGGTATTTTCTGCTTTATTAGATAGTCACGGTTGAGTGAGGCAGGAGAGGCAGGGGACAGCAAGGGGATGACATGCAGCAGAGGTACTGGGGTGCCCCCTTCACCTCATCATTTATTAGGCTTGTGCATCTTGTTTAACCTTAAATCTGTACACAATTTGTGTGTTATCATGTTCACGTCCTGTCTCCCTGTAGAGCCTGTGTTCGGTGAAGCCACAGAAGTTCCTGCCATGGAGTGCTGCGCCTGCGGAACAGCCAAGTACAGACTCACCTTCTATGGCAACTGGTCAGAGAAAGTACATCCAAAAGACTATCCAAGTGAGTTCAAACCATGGGCAGGCTCTACTGCATGTACACTATGCACATTCACCATGTAAGTAGAGAATAGGCATGAAAACTCATAAATACCCATAAGTGTGTGTATATCCAGGGTAGCAGCGCAGGTTATTCCAAGTCAACTTACTGAAACAAATATGATTATTAGCTTTCTTGGAAACAGCAAGCCTGGGTCAATCCAAGGCTGGCTCATAAACACTTGTATCTTCTTTCTTTAATGTGTACAAAAACCACAATGTGAAAACAACACATTATAGTTTAACAGGGGGTTGTGTACAGGACTATTTCTTGGCCAGACGCAGAGACTTCTTCTAGTCCCCATTGGTTGCCTGGCAACCTCACTGAAATGACAAGACTCCATTAAGATACTCCTACCAGCCAAAAAATAGCTCTGCACCAACCACAACGTAACTGCCACTAGCTAGGAACCGCTACTGCTGCTCCTGTTTCAACTGAATATGGCGCCAAATTTACAGATACATCACTCACTACCGATTAGTAGTAGCGTAAAATGGGCTATCAAGAACACAGTGCATTGCTGAATGAATAAACTGAAACAAATCAGTGTATTCTCTGTATAATCTGTTACAGAGATGTGCCAACCATGGCAAACTATAATAGAAAAAATAATGCAGACGGGCCAGCTGAAAAAGACAATTTATCGTCCTTATCTGAATCAGAATTTAAAACCCTTAAACCTAAACTTCTCTCCTGCTCCTGTCTTCCAGGACGAGCCAACCACTGGTCGGCTCTGATTGGTGCGTCTCACTCCAGAGGCTACGTGTTGTGGGAGTATGGAGGTTACGCCAGTGAGGGCGTCCGTCAGGTTGCAGAGTTTGGCTCACCCATCAAGATGGAAGGAGAGATTAGACAGAAGGTAAGGCTGACATCAGATGGAGCCTCTGCGGGTTCTCTGTTGCTCCATTTTTGATGAAACAGCACTATTTCCATGTCTTTTCATTTGTTTAACCCTCATATTGGACTAAACCTAAAACTAAATTGCTAGTGGCAAAATATGGGATGCATCAAAAAAAAGAAAAAAGACAATAAAATCCTAGAACTGCAATCATACTCAAAGCTCACCCTTCACCAGTGCATACAGAGTGTAGATACAGTATTATCATGACTGTGCTCAGGGCCCACTGCCATATGCCAGGGGCTATTACAACATACTGAGAGGTTAATGACAGGCTGAGGCAATAAGAATCTGAAATGACATGCGCACACACACACACACACACACACACACACACACATTTTACTCTGTCAAAATGGCAGCTGATGAATGTCCAATACAGTGAAATTCTCATTTCCACATCGGGCAAAGCTTTTACAGACGCAGGGCGTCTTCATATTCTCATTATCCTCTTCATTAAACCAGATGCATGTTGACACTGTGTGGTGCTGGATTCTGCTTGAAATCAGATTCCTTTGGAAAACAACAGACTTCTTTTGAGTGAACGGTGCCTTTAGGGGATCAGATATTTTTTCAAGCCATCCACTGGATAGCACCACGAGAGGAAAGGCTGTTGCCTCAGCGCAAGACTGTGTGTGCGTGTGTGTGTGTGTGTGTGTGTGTGTGCGTGCGTGTGTGTGTGTAGAAAAATTTACACATAGCTCAGACAGGGGACAGTGCATGACAGGACACAGCTGAGAGATGGGCTTGAGCATACCTGCACACTGTATGTGTACTGTATGTGTGTGTGTGTGTATTTTGCTGTACCATTTATAACATGGTATGTAGGTATTACTTTAAAGAGAAACTTCGCTCTCTTTGGCTTCAACACATCTCCCCCAATCAGGGCTGTGCAAATGATCGAATTTTAATCACAGTTTCGTTTTGTAAGCACACTCGTTTTGTCTTGAGTAATAAATCCTGCGCACTCATTACTTCACAGCGCTCTCTGCTAAAAGCCCAAACTCCCTCAGCCATGCTGTGGCATGTTTGCTTCAACTCAGGGTTAGGCTATAACTGGCAGGTCACCATTATTAGCTTAAAGGTCCAGTGTGTGTAATATTTCTGAGGATCTATTGACAGAAATGCAATATAAGATCCATAACTATGTTTTCAGTGGTGTGTAATTGTATAATAATGAACCGTTGTGTTTTTATTACCTAAGAATGAGTCATTTCTATCCACATAACTGCGGTTCCCCCCTTACGTGGACATCGCCATGTTGCGCCGCCATGTTTCTACAGTAGCTGAAAACGGACAACCAGCGCCACAGAGCACGTTTCGTCACTACGTTCTTGTTGTTCTTGTTGTTCTTCTTGTAGAATTCTGGCAGTGTAGATGCTCATAACTACACTGAAAACGTATGTTCGAAGAAGAAGAAGTAATGTACACCAGTTGTCAGCAAATAGGTTTTGCGTCGCAGCAATTTTTTTATCCATCAGATGGTGGGTGAGAACAAAAGACATAAAAAATTTAGTTAAATGTTACAGTGTTTGGTTCGCTCAGTCAGGAAAGCGCAGGACTCTTATCTTGAAGGTTGTGAGTTCGATCCCCCATTGGGAGAATTTCTATTTTCCCTCTTCAAACTGATTATGAAGCGACTGTTTCATATGCTCACAATAAAGCCTTTAAAAGTTAAGTGTGCAAGAATTAAGATAGTAAGATAGTAGTAGTATTACATATACATATTTTGCAAACTCATTTGTTACATGCTGTGCATGCAGAGTGAACTAGATGTCAGCGTGTTGTTTATATGATCTGATAACGCTAATCCTACACATCTTTGTAGTAGTGTCCATGTTGATTCCACGTTCTGACTTAAGAGCCCATGAACGCACACTGAAGTCAGAAGAACGACTTCACAACTCAGGAAATTGCACCATCCGAGGAGCATGTGAATCCACCGTGACCACTGGTTGCAATTCGCAACTCTCACCACTAGATGCCCCTTAAACTTACACTACTCATAGCCAGGTGTGTGTTGAGGCTTGCTTTGCTTGTAAAATATCTGTGGTGTCCACGTCTTCTAACGTATTATAGGATTTATAGTTTTCTCACTGTTGGTTTACCGCATCTCCCGGCAGAACAACACGTATCTAACGTAACGAGTTGTCGTCAACTCGAGTAGTTCACCTGCCCTGCTCCACTTCTTGTGTACACACACACACACACACACACACGTAGCCCCCACTGCAGCCCATCAACAACTCAAAGCAGTCAACCTGGGGAAACACTGGGCTGCCCTAGATGCTGTTTAAAGTTAATAATATTCCATTAATATTTCTTATTTTATGGGCTATTTGGGATTTTTGGATAATACAAAATCATTTTAAAAATGAAGCATTCAGTTTTAAAGTTTTAATGAACACATGATGTTTCAGTAATCGTGTTAATAATCGTGATCTCAATTATGACCATTATGAGCAAAATATTTGTGATTTTGATTTTTGCCATAATTGAGTAGCCCTACCTTAAATTATTCAAAAAACACACGTTACTCCCAACCCCTCACAGGTCAGGGCTAGGTTTGAATGAACTAGAGCTAACACAACATTTGTTTGAATTCATGTGAAAACAATGTAGCTCACTATGTTGTAGAATAGATGTTAACATTCACTCTCAGTGACTAGGTGTGTGCCAAAACATTGATACAGCAAAATATCGTAACATATTTTTTCATGATACTGTAACGATATTCCAGACCATCATAGCGATACATAAAATAAAATAAAAATAGTGCTTTGACGATTAGCTCAATGCTAAGATATAATCTCCATTAACTTGCTAACGGACTTTAGCATTGCCAACACGATAATATAAGAGTGACATACTGTGCAAATACTTAAAGTACAGATGTTTCCTGAGCTCTGTGTGAAATAAAAAAGAGCTGCTAACTTCACTGGCTTGATCTGCTACTCTGCTGCTTCAGCACTCCTCACTGACTAGCTACAGCAACCCCAAAGGCTCAAAACTCAAACCCAGAATTCCCAGTGGCCTAAAAATACAGCTATTACTAGGTGGAGAAAGGGAAGCACAATGCTGTGTCTCTGAACAGTTATCAGTTTAATGTGATGTAGATATTAGACTTACGTGATACACAGCAATTTGTATTTTCAGCAAAAAAAACAGTAAATTAAGTGAATTAGCATTTTTATATGCCTTTTATAATATATATGTTTATTATATTAATTTTACATAGTTGCTGTAGGATCAGCAGAATTGTGCTGTTTTGTGATGATTTTCAGAAGATAGAGAAAACATTTTTGTGGGCATTTTGTATTCATAATTAGACAGATATTGTTTAGGATTGTCTAGCGATATATCAATTATCGCAGAATTGCTGTATCTTGATATTATCGTTTTCAGGAGCCGTGTATTGTGTATTGCAGGGCTATTCAATTACAAATTCAATTGGGCTGGATTGTAAAACCAGGACACGGAGATGGGCCGACCATTTTCTCATGAGTGGGATCATTAGAATTTTATTGACACACTTGTATTGGTAATCATTATTGGTTCAGTTCTTTATTGATCCTCTTATCAGTCCTATTTATTACTAAATAATATATTATTTGAAAAAATAATTGAAAATGTTTTATTAACTAAAATGTTGTTTCTAGAGCAGCAACAGAATTGTAAAGTCACTAATATCTCACTGGAAACAAATCTAAAACTATTGTATAGTATTTACTGGCCAACAGGGCGAGTAATTGGTCATGTAAACATTTTTGACTATGTTTGAACATTAGTTTGTATTTTGAATAAGAATTGACAGACTTGCTCTCACACTACATTGTTCCAGTGTCCTTCTAGCTTAACCCCTTCTCCACCAGTTTTAATCAACACAGTTGTTACGGCAGCAGCACAACAATTTCACTCACACATGCTTAATCTCCTACCTAGATTAGATTTGTTTATGTCTTGATAGTGGGGTGTTCTGATCTGACTGAATGTTGCGTTGATTTGTGCTTAGTGGACTACAAATCAAGTGGAGTGGGGTACAAGTCAACGTCTAACTCGCAAAGTCCACTGAATCCGCCTGCGTCACATTATGGCAGCCATTCGAGTCAATGCTCGTGAGTCCACCAGACGTGGCCGCATCAACACAGAACAGCATAGAGAATCTGGTCATATTTCAAAATTAAACACCCTGTGCAGACTCCCGATCATAAAATGACAATAAATATGGTTAAATCAGACAAAAAAGGAAACCATTTAACTACGTAGCCTACTTAATCATAGCAGAAGCACAAACTGCATGCAACAAAATCTGAACATGCCAGCAAAATCAGGCAGGCATACACCTTTTTGGTCTAGAGTAGAGGTTTTCAAATTGTGAAGCGACAGACCAAGAACTGCTAATATCTAATTCGGGCAAACTTTTTAATGGTGTTCATTTACAAAATGTAAACAAATACAGGCTAAATACGGGCTAGAGCACACGGGCTAGAGCACACAGCAAATGATGAACATGATAGACTGGGATCGGAATCAGTTGATAAAATAAAAAGCGACTGTACATGGTAAACGGGAATGGTAATGGAGTGCATTAATATAGCCCTTTCACTTTCTTTTCCATGTTTAAAAAGACCCACCCATCAGTCCGGGGATCAAACCACCAACCCTGTGATTAAAGCAGTGGCCATTTGTACATTAGTGTTAATTCACTCTATACTATCTCTGGGTGCATTAAGCCATTGCAGGCAGTGTTGCATAACATTGAGCAGGACTTCTTTACGGCAATATAGTATTCATAGGATTTTTACTCCAATGCTGAATTTGTCAGGAATTTAATTTCCCCAAACACAGACAGCATCTGGATATTTTGCCTGTAATCAGCTTCTCAAAGGATTTCCTATGTCACGATACGCAGCATATCAGCTTCACAGTATATTCACTATATTAAAATAGGGTAACATATA